GGAGGTGCTGAGCTCACTGGGCCTTTTCTCAGTGCTGGTCCTCCTGAAACTTTGTAAAGTTTCACACTCATCTCTTTCTGCCTTGGAAGTCTGCTCTGTTTCTAGTTTTGAGGGTGGCAACCTAAATTCTGTTTTGGCCATGCTGAATTTAGAGTGCTTTGAATTGGAGAAGGCCTTCTGGTTGGCAGAATTTAACTGCTCGTTTAGCAACTTCAAGGCAGCAGCAAATGTGAGGATACTTCAGAAAGCTCGTGGAGATGCATAATTAAAAGAAATTAATTTTGATGCAAGAAATATAAATTCATACCTACTTTTTTCATAATACACATTTTCCCTTGAAATTCAAAGATTTTTTTAAGCCTTTATTTGTAGGGATGTTGAGTACAGACAGCCACACAGTCTCTCTCTCTCTCTGTGTCACACACACATACACACACACACACGTATACGGGGCATACAGAGACCTTCTGTCCACTGGCTCACTCCAGACTGAAATGCCTGTAATAACCAGAGCTAGGTCATGCCGAAGTCAGTAGGTGGGAACTCAAGTCGAGTCTCTCATATAGGCAGGGGCCCAAGGAGCTATGCCTCCCAGAGCGCATGATTAGAAGGAAACTGGACTTTGGGAAGAGTGCTGGGACTTGAACATAGGGGCTGTGATGCCTTTACTGTGGTACCAACACCTGCCCCTCCATGGGCTTTCTGAAGATGCCTGGTAGTACAAGGGTTCTTTTTTTCTTCTCCCCTTTCACAAACATTGTTGATACTGGAAATACAGGATCCCATACCCCCAAAGCACTGTTACTTGGGGGCAGGTCTGAACTTGAGTAGTGACTAACAGTCCTCAGAGATGATGAAGAGTGTCTATCAATGCACTTCCCATAAGGAGAACAGATTGGATAATCTTCAGTGATACAGGGTTTCAAAGAAACCTTTTCAAGAATCAACTCTACACTAGGTGTTAGATGCTTGGAGTATAAGAGATATGAGACACCATTCCTCATTGAAGGATACAGCCACATGTGTGCAGCTATGGTCTGATGTGGCAGTGACTGACCAGAACGTTAAGACCAAAGCTTATTGAGATACTGAGACGGAGCTTGGTGGCTGCCCAGCTGGCCCCATCACCCACTTTCACGTTTTCCATGAAATATCTTCATTTCTGTGAAGACTGCCCTGACACCTCTTTGAAATATAGCCCCTGCTGCCTCAGCACTTCTGCACTCCTCTATTAGCCTGGTTTCACCATAAGAGAATGCCCAACACAGGCAACTTAAGACGACCAGAGCTCACAATTTTGGGAGTCCAAGGGCATGGTGTCTGTGTCAACTCCACTCTGATAAGAGTCCTCTTACATCATGGCTGACTGCAATGGCAGAAGCACCTGTGGGACCAAGGGGCACATTTTGAGCCAGAAAGAATAGAGAGCGTAGGCCAGGCTTAGCCTATTATAACAACCTGTCTTCCAAAAACTCAATCCAGTAGGCCTGTATTCCCTTCTGAGGGTAATGTTCCAAGGCTTAAGGACTTCCCACAAGGTCCCACTTCTTTACATACTTAACACTATGCAGTACTGCCACCCTGGGGACAGTCAGTGAGATGTGAACCCTAGGGGAGACATTTGAACCATGGCATCTCCTTTTCCCAGCTCTGCAGCTTTGCTTTATCCATGGACTTTCTTGCTTTCATCTTTCTTGGTTATTGATGAGTAACAAACCATCTCCAAATTTAATGGCTGGAGTGGTGATTTCCTGTATCTCACTATTCTGTTGGTTGACTGCACTTGGCTGGGTAGTTCTTGCCTGAAGTTCCTCATACAGTTGCCCTCATGTATCATGGAGGCTACAGTCTCCCAAACCCTAGTTGGCAGTGGCCTTTTTTGGCTCCTCAGAGGTCTGACAGTTGAGCTTGGCTGTCAGCAGTGAGCTCAGCTCCTGCTGGTGACAAGAGCATGTGGCTTCTTTACATGGCTTAAGCTTCTTGTGGCATGGTTATTGGGTTCCACAAAGTGTACCAAAAGTGAACATTTTAAGGGGTAAGAAACAAAATGCGGCAGGCCAGTGACAAGTTACATGTGGTACTGCTTCACTTGATCCGTGTGCTTTGTGCTGAGGAGGTAGCAAGATCACATTGCAGAAGAACTTATGGGATGTGAGATATAGTTGTTGCCATCATTGGAAAATCTGTTTGATTGTTTTAATAACTTAATGTGAATACAGATTTCTGAATATGTCTTTTTTTGGTTGGCCCGATAAGATATAATCCCCAATAGGCAGGGGTATAGCCCCTGAGGCACAGCACATAGTTTGAATAATGCTTGTCACAATAGTGCACAGTGCATATTGAATATTGGTTCAGTGAGCTGTTGTGTCCATCCCTTTTAACAGACTGTGATATTCCCTATGGGCAAACATCTTGTTTCTTGATTCACCACTATATTGCACAGTGCCTAGCAAGGAGTTGGCTCAATAGCTGTATTTTAAATGAATGAGACAAGACCATATTTGAACCAGGATCTGAAATATAAGTGGTTTTTCCATGAAGAGTAGGAGGGATGGGACAGAAAGGCAGAAGAAAATACCACATGGCAAACGGGAAGGACAGATGAGTTGGCAGTGAGGCTGGCTGTGGGCTCCTGAGGGCTGGATCCCAGCTGACTTCTAGGCTGTTTCTTTTTGTCCATAAGCAGGGCTTCCAACAGTCACAAAATTGGCATGTTCTTGTTGGACAAATGAATGCCAAGGCCCCTCCCCCCAAAACATGAATTTACAGATTTTTGTGGTGGTCGGCGTTAGATTAAAGTCAGAACTCTTTTGTGAATTGAGAAAATCTTATAAATACAACCCCTGGAAAGGAAATTTTAAGTACTGAAAAAATAGTCAGGTTTTGTATTTTTGAACATAATGAAAGTGAGTTCAAATAATTTACATTCTTGTGCTGCCTTCCTCACTGTTGCAAGTCTAAAAGATCCTTAGAGTATCTCCTGAATATTTGACTAAATGTTATAAGGAAAAGAGTAGTTTTTAAGGCCAAGGGGAAAGAGAATAAGGCATTAATCTTCCATAGAGATAATGAAAATTAATGGCAAAAAACAGTAACTAAACCCAGGGGTGCAAACACAATAGAAAAAAGTAACACTGAAGTATTAATGCATTAGAAATCATTATGTATCTTTTTTTTCTATAAGCTTGTGAGTCAATTACTAAAATTTAATGGGGAAATTTGAATCTTTTGCAACTTATCCACAGGAAATATGTAGGCAAGCAGAACGCTAGTTATGTATGAATAAAGGTGGAATTCTTATTTTCTCCATCCTTACTGGGTTAAAGAAAAACCTTCAAATACCTTGCTTTGTTAGCCTCAACAATAGTGTGACATTAACACCTACACAAAATCAATCGTTTTCTCCAGTTTGGTTCTACACCAAGTTACTAACAAATGATGAAGCTTTTGTACAATTGATGACTCAAAATATAGACAGAATTATGATTTTAATGCCTATGCCTCAGATATGACAATTTACAAAAATCATGTCAAAAGTAAAGGCACTACTTAAGACAGAAAGTATTTCATTGTCCTGACTTGGCATCCTGCTAATAGGGAAAAGATACTTCTGATGCATCAAGTAGATGAGAGAGAGCTGGTGCAGGATGACCTAAACCATGGCTGATCTTTCACGGGTCACCTGATCCCTGCAGTTCTCCAGGTCAGTCGTGTTCAGCGCAGGAAACCTTGTCCTCGTTGGTCAGCCACCTGGCTTCTGTGCCACCATTACTGGTTCCTGGATTCTCTCAGTGGAACCTGGCAGTTCAGTCTAGGCTAGTTCAGAGCTCCATTCAGTGCCCTGTCAACCAGTAGAACTGACTGGTTCACTACTCAAAGAAGTCCTTCTCACAAAGGCTTTTAGGATGACATCACACATAGGAGGGTACTTTACAATGTGCATGGAAAATGGAATGAAAAGAGAAGTGTATTTTGGTGCAAAGAATGTCTGATGTACATGCAGTTTTTTGAAGTAATACTCATTTTCATGTGCGTTTTAAAGACCCCTTATATATCTGTTGATTGATGTGTGTGGTTTTACATACATATCTGTGCACATACACATTTGCACACACATACATTAGCTTTTTGGCTCTTGACTTTTTGGCTCTGAACAGACAAATCTAAAAACACTGAATATTTACAGCTAGCTCTTCTGGCAGGTATGACCATGGTCTGGTTTCCAAAGCCTAATCACAGAAGAGCACCCCGTGACTGGCTTCTTTACTCAGCACTAGCATGAGTTGAGATTGAATTCCCTTTTACGGTGGAGTCATAGTGCATTGTATGGATATGCCCATTGTATTTATTCATCTGTTGGTTTGGGATGGTTTCCTTGTTTCAGTGTTAGGAGTAACACTGCTGTTGACATGTGGGTAAAGGTTTCTGTGTTGCCATATTTTCATTCTTGAGAATGTATCGAAAAGTGGGATTTCTGGGTCCTGCAGTAACTCCATGGTATCCATTTGAAGAATCACCACTCTATTTTCCAAAGTAGCTGGCCTGCCAGACGTTGCTACCTGCTGTTTCTGGTGGCTCCACCTTGCCCACATTTTCATCAACACTTGCTGATGTGACTTTTTGACATCAGCCACTGTAGTTGGTGTGAGCTGGTAGGGTTTAAAATGATTTGGGAAAGATTTTCTATTCCAAATAATTGTAAAGTGCAGTGTACATTTTTAGGTCTTCTCTTTGCTATTAACTATACAGGCATGGCTACCAAGAGTTCTTATTTCCCATCACAATGGTAAAGGAAGTTTTACTCTTTCTTAACCTAAAGGTTTTGTTGGTATAAGCCATGTGAGATACTATCCTTAATGTGGGAGTTGAGGGGGAGTTGTGGAGGAGGGTTGGGTAGAAAGCAGGGTGTGTGATAAGAGCTCCTGGGGTGTCACATCCCTTCCAGGAGACTGCTTGGCTTCTTATCAGTGTGTCTTAACAGGTGCCTTTGCTTTCAGGAGGACTGGCCTTGGCCCATGTGCTCTTCTTCTATGTGAAGTACCTGGTCCTTTTTGGTGTTCCAGCTCTGCTCATGCGCCTGGATGGACTCACACCACCACCCCTGCCCCGCTGTGTGAGCACCATGTTCAGTTTCACGGGGATGTGGAGGTCAGTCACTTAAAGAGGCTTCCTTTCTGAGGTGTCTGGTGGGAGGAGCTCTGTCCAGGCTGGCTTCACAGAACTGGCCATCCTCCTTCCTCTGCCCTGCACTGGAACTGTGATGCTCTAAGCTGACATAGGTATGGCAAAATATGTGTGCTGTACTCCTCAAAGTTACCACCAGGCTATAAGGAGAGATGAGGCAAGCATGGTTCTTGGCAAATTGGTGTAGTGGTGTGCAAATGGTCACATGCAAAGTGGTTTCATACCAACTCAGGAATGATCCATATATTAATCATTTTAACTACTTTCTATTTTCCTTGGAAATGACATCTGTACAGTTGAGACTGTTTAAAAATGTACCTTCAAGATAATAACACAGGTCAGTGTGGTCACTTACTCTCAGATTAGGGTCACTTTACTAAATCCAAGCTTCAGTTTTCCTATCTCTTCTCTCATGGAGGTATATTACTACTCATGTAATACCTGCATTGTGACAATAATGTTATTAATGATAACTACACCTGTCTCCACTGGCAATGACCGACACATAACAGCTGTTGATGAATGCTAGCTTTACCCTACATGTTCGTGTGCATACAGAGATGCATTTTTGTTGGTCTTATTACTCTTGATTTTGTCTCATGCACTTATGATTGGCCTACAATATTTGTTTCATCCCTACCCATCCTGATAGTTGTTTATGAACAGACTAGCTTGCTGCTGTGTTTTTTCAATCACTCCTGGTATGTGATGGGCAGCAGGATTGCTTTTATGACTATAGGCATTGTACGTTATAGTTACAATATAATTGTACGAGACTCAGGGCTGGTCTTGATGCAACAGTGGAGGTTAGTGCTCTGTTACAATTTTGTACTCTAGTAACAAGTTGAGTTTTGCCTCATCAGAAAGTCCAAATCACAAATTGGAAACATAAATGTTTATTTTCATATACTTAAAATCGGAGGGAGGGAGGGAACGAGAACACACTTCTCGCCATTGGTTCACCTTTCAAGTACCAATCACAACTGGAGCTTGATCAGGCCAATGGAGCCAGGAGGCCTATCCAGGTCTCTCATCTGGGTGACAAAAACCCAAGAACTTGGGTCATTTTCTGCTGCCTCCTAGGGGCATTAGAAAAAAGATGGATCCTAAGTATGGACTAGCAAGCCTCTCATCAGGCACTCTGATGTGAGTGTAGCTTTCCCAGATGATTTAATGTGCTGTGCCACAAGGGCCACCCATAAAACTGTTGGAGCTTTAAAAAGGTGTTATAGGGCCTGGTATGGTGGCCTAGCCTAGCGGCTAAAGTCCTCTCCTTGCACGTGCCTGAATCCCATATGGGCACTGATTCTAATCACGACAGCTCCACCTCCCATCCAGCTCCCTGCTTGTGGCCTGGGAAAGCAGTCGAGGATGACCCAAACCCTTGGGACCCTGCACCCTCATGGGAGACCTGGAGAAAGTTCCTGGCTCCTGGCTTCAGAGTGGCACAGCACCAGCTGTTGTAAGCACTTGGGGAATGAATCATTGGACATAAGATCTTCCTCTCTGTATGTCTGACTTTGCAAGAAAAATAAATCTTTAAAAAAAAGTTTTAAAGGTGATATAACTACAGAGATACTTTCAGATTTCAACACATTGAAGATTTTGGATTTTTCTTGTTAGGAATGCTTTCCCAGTAAAGTCTATATCAATAATCCCAAATCTGAAAACAGCAAGATCTGAGACACTTCTGACCCATGTGTTTTGGATTAAGGGATACTTAGCCTGCTCCTCTTTTGTTTCTTGCTAGGCTTGCTCTACTCAGAATTTTGTGACTCATTTGACTCAGTCTTATATTTCATCCCTGTGGACAGAAGACCTTAGACATAGGTAGGGAAGAAGTCTGAGAATATTGCTCTATGTAACTAATGTTACATAAAGCAGGTGGGTAGCATCCGATCTCCTGATTTCTCCTGGTAAAAAAGATTAATTTATCTGAGATCCTTTAAACACATTTTATATTTGATCATCCTGGCTTCTGGGGTTAAACTTTTCAAAAGATTATTGCAGGGAGTGTCATGTAATTGCTTAGATCTAGCCTTAATTCCTTTCTCAAATATCCTGGGTTGCCCTGTTTGAATGACAGGCTTGGGAAGTGCTAGCGAAAGGGCCTTCTCTGACTAGACAAGGCCAAGGAGTAGTTGATATTTAACCCTGTCAGTGTTTGACCTTCTTGCAAAAGTAATTTTTCTGAATCGGTGGGTCAGGACCCAACATGATATGGGGCACATCACAAGGCTTTATGAACTTTGTACAGTTCCACTGCCGCCTCTGTGTGAACACTCCAACTAATGGATTTCTTGGGAAGCACATTTTTCTAGCTTATATCTGGAGTGTTAGTTGACTCAACTAAAAAACTATGATTCCCAGACAGGGATGTTATCTTGGCTTCAGGCTCCTTTTGCATTATACAAATCCATTGATTGTCACAAGAAAGCTTTTTATTTTCGAAAAACATTTATTGACTTATTTGTATGTCAGAATGACAGATCATCTGGTGAGCTACACAGATGGCCAAAATGCTGGTGTTGAGGCAGGCTGAAGCCACGAGATTCATCCAGGTCTCTCGCAACGGGTGGTATCAGGAACCCAAACACTTGGGTCGTCATCCTCTGTTTTTCCCAGGCCATTAGCAGGGGGCTGGCACAGTGCTCTGATGGGAAACCAGCATCACAGGTCAAGGCTTTATCCACTATGCCCAAGTGCTGGCCCCAAAAGCATTTTAGATAGTTGGCCATATTTCACACTCAGGCTGATCATCTTCATTTTGACTAGTTGAAACTTAAAGTTTTGGTCTAAGAAGACCCTTAGTTCTTTTTTTAAAAAGAATTTATTTTTTTTAATTGGAAAATCAGATATAGAGAGAAGGAGAGACAGAGAAGATCTTCCATCTGATGATTCACTTCCCAAATGACCATGACAGCTGAAGCTGCGCTGATCTGAAGCCAGAAACCCGGAGCCTTTTCTGGGTCTCCCATGTGGGTGTAGGATCCCAAGGCTTTGGATCATCCTTGACTGCTTTCCCAGGCCACAAGCAGGGAGTGGGATGGGATGTGGGGCCAGTGGGATTAGAACTGATGCTCATAAGGGATCCCAGCACGTGAAAGGTGAGGACTCAGCCACTAGGCTACTGCACTGGGCCCAGAAGACCCTTAGTTCTATATAAACCACGGAGGTAGAGGGTCTATACCTATTCAATTCCAGGCTGTCTTCTTCCTCCCAGTTAAGATCAAGATAAATGTGAGGAAGAGAGTAATACTGAAAAGCTAATTTAAGGAGGAAGTGCTGGGGTGTCTCCTTAGAAACAGGTGGTTTCCAAAGAAGACACGCATCAGGACATCTGTTGAAATAACAAAAGCGTCTTTCTGGAGGTGACCCACCTTAACTCCTTCAGCATGCATAGGTATAGGCTTTCCCCGGTCTTTCTATGTCATTGAAGCTTCTTGCAAGCTTCTCTAGTTTACTGTTTATGCTTAGCAGCACTTGGCTCTTTGTGCACCAAGCCGAATCTCGAGATGAAGAATTCTGGGTTATCGTGCACTCTTTGTGGCTTGGAAGTGGTTTGCAATTGAAAAGGAATAAGGATTGTGTCTCATCTCCTGTATGCTTGGGAGATGCTCCTTCATTGCTAGCAGGAGATCTTCCATGCTTCGTGCCCTGTTTCTAGTACACAAACATGACATGAGTCCAGGTTCCCATTTTTGAACTTTTTGTTGGAAGAAAGTGCGTGAATGGGAAAATACATTCTCAGTTGTGACAGTCTTGTCCACAACTTACTTTACATTCATATTTCTGAACCCTTTCCCGAGGCCTTGCCACAGACAGAAGATGGCTCCATCTGTCTGGATTTAAAGCCAAGAGGAATTTGATCCTGAGCAAGTGGAAAAGCTGGTGAAGCAAATGATTCTGCTGGGCCTTGACAACTGTTTGCGCAGGGACACAAAGTCCTGAGTGGGTGGACACAGAGGGAAGAGGCTCAGAAACAATCTTGGAAGATTGTGTAATGACTGCTCATACAGTAAGAACTGACGATAACAGATGAAGTTTTAGCCACTGTGTTGAGACACCTTACACCCCTTGAACACTCTACTGACTGTTTAACACTGACAGCAGCCTTGCAGCCAGCAGTGGCTGTAACAGTGACATCTGCATCGTACATCATAGAAAAGACAAAATTGGCCATCAGCAGAGAGATAATCTTCCCTCGCATGATATTTCAAATTGACCATGAACAATTGCTCTTCACCCACACGTTCTGAACTTGAGCATGAGAATGTGACATATTTGCTTATTTTCCCCTCTCCCAGCTCTTCTTGATGTAATTCCTCCTTAAATATTTGCAGGCATAATAAAGCCCTTAGGAGCATGTGTATGCCCACTGGGTTAATTTTTTTCCTGTGGTCATTAGAGGCCTGAGAAATTGAGAATGTTCTGTTTAATTTTTAGGTTTCATGTTTTAATTTAAGTGAGCTGAGACCAGTAATGAGCTTCTTTTGCCAAGAGTCATTAAAGATGACATTGCAAACCCAAGGTTCCAAATTAGAAATCTGGTCATGTTCCCCTGATTTGATTTCTAGCTATGAAAGCAAAGTGTGCAAAGGGATAGAATTTCTTATGGTGGCTCATGAGTTATTGGTCAATTTCAATTATCTCAGGAATCTTGCTCAGCTTGCCCTGTGCATTTCTTAAAATACAATGTTCTCAGGTCTTCACAAGCAAACTCATGCATCATTGCTTATCCCGGTGGGATCTCAGAGCAGTTGGAGGCTGCTGGACCTGAATATATGGGGTGTCATTTCTTTGGGGGAACAAGTTGCATTAGCTGTTAGGTCAACAACAGAAGAATTGAAGTCCCTGGGTGGCATGTTGGTCCAGGTCTGTGGTAGAAGATAAAGCCTACACTGTAAAGTGATGACTTGGGATTAATTCTAACTTTGAATCAGTTGTAGGGCAGGCTAGAAGGC